CGCTCAACTTTGGTCACTGCTGACTCTGAGGAATAGATTAAGGCAGACTTCTAGAAAATGGGATGATTGCTAGAACAGCTTGCTATAATCTCTGTGATTCTTAGAAATACTCTAGTGCCCTCCCTGTAACAAAATGAGATGCAGAACTTGATACAACGTACAACATTTCCCAAATTGTAAACGATGGAGCTCTTCCCCTTTGTAAACCCAAATGATTTGATACAACCAGGTAACCCCAGTAATGTGCACTTGATGAACCCCTACAACACTGCTGTGACTGGGGCAGAATGGGTCAGGCTTCTTCCAATTCCTGTGATCCCATTCGTGTCTAGTTAGTAGCTGTATCTCCTAGAGAACATCAAGAAGTGTAAATATTTCATGGTTACCACTGAAATTGCACCAAACTCGATGCTAGTTTTGCCTGTAAATTACTCGGTGCTGAAATTCTGCGTGATGTGATGCTGTTCGTGTCAGCAAAGAACTACAGTGTACTTTAAGTCCCGTGGGTTTCCTTTATGTAGAAAAAGAGGAAAGCAAACCAAGTCACTACCTTTGGTGTTCTTACTTAACCCTCCTCCTGAGCTAGCGGTGAAAGCCTGAATGTGTCAGAAAAGTTTTTAAAGGTGAAATTTTATCCCTTTATCCAGCATCGCTGCCAAAGAAGCCCTAGAGAGGCACTTTGGAGAACAAAGTAAGCCTTCTTCTCAGGAAATTATGAGGATGGCTGAGGGGCTCAATCTTGAGAAAGAAGTTGTGAGAGTTTGGTTTTGCAACAGAAGACAAAGGGAAAAAAGAGTGAAGACAAGTTTACATCAGAACGCCTTTAGTTCTATTATCAAGGAGCATCACGAATGCCGGTAAAGCTTTTCCATGTATAGATGTGGATTTCTCTTTTGCTTTTTGTAAATCTTGTAAATACTATGTTCTTAAAAAAAAAAAAAAAAAATCAGTAAACCCCTTGTTTCTCTTACAAGCTAGCCAGCTTCAGATGTAGTGTGTTGTGGAAGACCCAATTTTAAGGTAAAGTGTTGGCAACAAATTAAATGCTACTGCATATATTTAAAGAGTTGGAGGTCTCTGCTTAACTGCAAGGAACCTGTTATGCATTATTCAACTAGAAATGCTTTCCGTGTTACCCAAGCACTTGCACTTTCCCTGTGCTGTGTCTTTCTTGCCTCTGCGGTACATTTAATGATTAACGGAGAACCCCATGTAGGTACCCTAAGCACCAGGAAATAAAGCCTTTGCGTTGTGTGTGAAGAAAAGTTACAAAGCTTGGTATCAGCAGCTGTAGTATTGAAAGTATCTTGCCTCTGCATGTCCATGCATGTGCTTTACCACCCTCCCAAGCTAACCAGCTAACTGCGCTAACCTTTGCGAGATTGTAAGCCATGGGGCACGTGGCAGGGTCCCATCTCCAGCGGTGAACACTGAACATCAGTGAGAAATTAGAACTTCAAAGAAGAGAAGGTGAATAAGCGACCTTAAACAAGCAGTGGTGACGCTGCTGAATGTCTAGTTACGGCCAAGGATGGGATACCCCCATGGGACCTTGCAGGACTGCCACTAGACTTGGGAGCCAGGTAGAAGAACGCTAGCTGAAGACCTGCCTTTCCAAAGGACAGCTCAAACTCAGCTACCCACTCACAAAAGCTGTACACCTCTGAGTGAATCATTTCAGGTAAACTCCTTGTGTAAGTTCAGGACAAAGCTATTAGAAAAGTGCCATGATTGCTGTTATTATTTAGGGTAGACTAAGCTTACCAGTATGGAGGTGTCAACGCTGTTCCTACTTGTGTGCTCTGTCTCCGCCTACCACTTGACTGCCTTAAATGGGTGCTAGGTAGAAGTGACTGTTTTTATGCTTGTTCTCAAAGGTAATTCTTGCTAATTAATTTGATGCCTTAAAGTTTGATTTGGATAGGCTTAGCTATAAAAATTGGGATACAATTTACCTTACCTTAAGACTTTGTGACTTGAGGGAGAAAAAAACTAGAGAATTATCAGGGGTTTTATTACTTTGGGCTTTCTCTGCATTGTATGTTTTTCTGATTAAATCCATGTGTGGACATACTTACACCAGAGATAGCGTGTTAGGCTAAAAAAAGAAGGCCCTTGCGCTCTAAGTGTCCATACAAAGCATTTCTTGCACTGCACATTCCTG